CATTTCAACCCCGTTGGTTTTAGTTTTAGTTCTAGTTCTTTTCACTTGGCTCCTTGGCTTTTCTTCCCCTTGGCCCTGGCCCCCCTTTTACTGTTTGCAGTCCATCTCCCATCTCCATGTTTGTTTTCCTTTGCTCTCCTCCGTGGGTCTCTTCTTCTCAGTGATATTGCTGGATCTCTTCCCTGCCCCACTCTCAGGTTTCTGCTCAATGTCCCTCGTGCGTTGTTGACTGTCCTTTATCCCCAGTGTCCTGTCACCTCCAGTTCTCGTTGCTTCCATAGATAAGGTACGTTGTCTCCTTCCTACAGAGATATCCCCAGCTATTGGGATTGTAAACCAGTCTATGTTGACGGACAACTAATTTTCATCCAGTTTTTACTGACTTTGTAGTTGGCCTTGCTCCCTAATTTCTTTTCCACGGTTGCTCAGTCTTGTCCCCTCCGCCTCGCGGGCACAGACCTTGCCTTTGCTTCATCCCTTACCTTCCTGGGTCCTCCCTTGTCCGGTGGGCTTTGGTGACATGTAGGAGACTCCAGGTGGAGAGTTCTGCGGAGCCGACTTCACGTGGGCAGTTTAGGACAGTCCTCTCATCCACTAAGTAGATGGTGCGAACAGACCCATCCTTTCAGAACAGACTTGGCTGGTTGCAGGAAAACCACCCCCACCCACCCAGATGGGCAGGTGGCGCTGTGTGTGCGCACTGAGTCAACGGACAGACTGGAGGGATTACGACGGGCCCTCCCTATGCCCTGGCTGGCCCCAACCTGGGTCAAGGCTGAATTCTCTTCATCTCTTTGCATTCTTGGAGATAATAACACCCAACTCATAGGGTTTTTGTGTGACTTGTGTACTTGGAGCATTTCCAGTGAATGCTAATTTCCTCTGTACTCAGAGGCTGCAGAGAACTTAAAGCATGTCAGTTAGACGCAGCAAACACGGTGGATGTGGTGGGAGAAATAACGCCCTGAATGTAGCACTTCTTGGGTTTCAAAGTGTGTTCGTATCATCCGTTTCATTTCATCTTTACAAAGACCCTGAGGGCTGGTGAGGACTCCAGGCCCCTCAACAGGGGCCTCTTTGGGCTACTGTGGCCACTGACTCATTTCAGAGGAAAGAAATGCCCACTAAAAAGTCACGTGGATATGATGAAGGTAATAGTGACAAAGAGATGGTCCTGCGTGTAGAAAATTGGAGCCATTCAGCCTCGTGGAAAAGAGGAGTTTTATGTTTCACTCCCAAGTTCAGAGAAAAGAAAACCTTTCCTTTTCTTTCCTCTTTGCTGTTGTTGGCAAGACGCTGTAAGACTGCAACTCACATATAAGGCACCCTGGGCCAAATTTTCAAAGAGCCTCTATGCTTTGCATGTGTTAGATTTTTCGTGCAAAGCTACAGCTCTGGGTGGTGGGGAAGTTTGTGGGGTGGAGGGGAGGGTGGGCACAGATGGCTTTTCACATTTGCCACCTCACTTTGAATGTGGAAATGTACTAATTTTGTGAGACTTGGTTTTCTTAAAAGTAGAGTTCCTTAAGGAGGCTTAGACCGCTGAGTGGTGCAGTCTTTAAATGAACAGTTCTGAAAATGAGAAGGAGTCGGTGTCTGCTGGATCCTGGTGAGAAGGTGGTTTGTTTGAAGTAAACCTCAGGCAAAAGTGACCCTAAAGTACCTTGCAGTGTGTGTGGGTCACAGCGACTTCCAATTGCTTATGGGTCGTGTCAGACCTTTATCCTTGGCGCTTTTTGCTGGAATAGACCTTTGCCAGGGAAAGATGGTATGTCTCAGAGTTGGTGATTGGATAACAGAAAGCCTTGAGGATTTGGTTTATTCTCAGAAAGATGCAGAGTCCTTTCCCATGTGACCAGCAGTGGCTGTAAATGCTCTTGTTTTGGCTCCTTGCTGGCTATGTCTGTTCGGGTAGAGAAGGTGAGGCTGGGATAGAAAATTAACCATCCAAACCTCAGTGGCTGATCTATTTCATATACAGTAGTTAGTATCTGCAAATCTCGAACTCCCAGTTTATCCCTTCCCATCCCCTCCCCACCAGTAACCATAAGTTTCTTTTCATTAAAAAAAATCATGTGTATATATATATATATATATATATATATATATATATATATATATGTGTGTGTGTGTGTGTGTGTGTATGTGTGTGTGTGTGTGTATGTATATATACACACACATACATATATATATAAAGGGGGAAAACCTCTCAGTGGCTTAAAATAAGAAGAATTTTTTTTTGATCCCATTTTGTGTCCATCCTGGATTGGAATAGGTGCCAGTTGTAGACATTTAGGGACTCAGAACGAGGGAGACCATTCTTTGTACCTGGGGGAAGGGAACCTGGTAAAGCTTGTCCAGGCTTCTACAGCTCCTGTCCAGAAGTGACACCTGTCACTTCTCACAGTTCATTGGTCAAAAAGTCACATGACCATGCCTGTGAGTTTGTGTCAGGGACTTTCAATCCTATTCTGAGCCTAAAAGGAGAAGGAGAAAAATAGAAATAACCTGCCTATGATGACCTCACCCTTGATTAAACAAAACCACCCAGGGAGGGGATTTCTCTACGTTTATGGTAACTAGCACTGCCAGTGCCCATTTCTAGACATTTTTGAGCCTTGCAAACAAAGTATCCCATATCTCCACAACCGTCTCCATGCATTGAATGTTCTGTGTCCTTGAAATCTTATGATACTTTGAAATGCTTTCAGTGACAATGATTATAATGAAAATAATAGTGAAGAATAAAAACTCACCTGCAGAGAGAAACACTTCTCTCACTAAGATGATTTAACTCCACTTTTTTTCCCTTTCTTTTGAAAGTGCCTTTCAGGTCTTAATCAAAGAACATCTTTGTGATCAGACTAATCAGCAATTAATGGATAAAGAAGCTACAACTCAGACAAGACAGGTAGAGTTCACCTTTCAAGTCTCTAATATATGAGTTCAAGTGTTTAATTCATTCTGGGGGGATTTGACAGATCATCAAAACCACATCCACCACCTCCATCACCACCCTCATCACCACCATCATCCCCATCACCTCCATCATCACCATCACCATCTCCACTGTCTCTACCACCACCATCACCATCTCCATTACTACTACCACCATCACCACCACCACCACCATCTCCACCATCACTACCACCACCATCACCATTGCCACCATCACCTCCATTATCACCACCACCATCATCCCCACCACCATCACCATCATCACCACCATCATCACGATCACCACCACCACCACTACCTATCATAAACACACACTTGTGCGATGCATATCATGTTTCTCTTCAAGCCATCATGAGGACCATGACATTGGTAAGCTTTTTAGTAATTAAGTTTGCTTTCTTTTCTACACATTGCATAATCTAGGAATTAAAAAATCATGGAAGAAAGGAACCGTCCTCGGGATTGAGTTTGGATTAAACTTATCACACTCTTCAATTTGACTTTTGTTTTTCCCTTCCATTTTCTTCCAGTTATACTTTCTCTCCTCCTTTAAACTTGAAAGAGAACCAGAGCTAAAAATGACATGATCCATGACCTTCAGGTCCCAGGAAGGGTGGTATCACTGCAGCCGTTTAACTCCTTCACTGCGCAGGCCACTCAGGTACATCCTTTTGAAGTTCACAGGTGTGGCCAGGATTTCCAAAGTTGGGGCAATTTTTCCTGCCAAACTTTGCTCAGCAACCAGCAGGGGGAAGCTAGAAGGACCAGTTCAAAGGAAAGTGGCACCATTACCCAGAATGATTTGGCAGAATCATTGCAATTGGCAGGTTTCACTTCGTGAGTTCACCTGTCTGCTCTGATTTGGGTGTGATGCTCTGGGCCTCTGGGAGCAGTGTTCAGAGCGGGCTTTCTTTGGAGGTGATTCCATTGCCCACTGCACTGAGGAGATCAATTCTCTGTTGTAGTCTCTGGCTTATGTCGCAAAGATGGCATCTTGGACCCTTGCCCATGGCCTGTGTCTTAACAATCCCTTGCAAAGCCTCCAGGATTTGTGCCTTTAAACACCATTGCTGGCTGAAGTAATGGTGGAGAGTGTACAGGGAATGCGGCCCAGAGCTAAAGCCCTGGAGCTTTACCCGCCCTGCCCCCCCCATCCAAATATTAACAAAACAAGGATGTTATTAAATTACCAATCCTTGCTCCAATTGAATATACGCCAAGAATTCCATGCTTCCACCTCACATACTGTGTTTTATTTTTCTTTCGGGGATTTGTTTTCTGAATCGGTTTACTTCTTTGTGGTCCAATAATCACCAAATGGAATTCTCTCCATCTTTCATCCTTCATCATTAGGAAAAAAATACAGTATCATTTTCTGGCAAGAAATAAATACCTCAAAATGAAAGACAATATTTAGTGACCCAAAAAAAAAAATCCCTCAAGAGTGCTATTTTTCTGATGAATCAGAGCTGGAAATGATTAAGGGCTCGGTGCATTAAAACAATGAGCACTCACGTCCATTGCTCCATTTTCATAAGAAAATCAAACATCCTCTTTTAAGTAAGTGTGGGGGGTTTCTGCTTAACAAATCTTTTAAGTGAGCCATAGATAAGTGCATTGGCATGGTTTGAGGAAATGCATAGAGGAAATTAAAAATATTTATTTTATTGAACTAATTTTCCCCGCTGGAGATTAAAGTAGCAAATGGAGCCCAGGACTGTCAGACAGATACTATTCAGCAATTTTGTTTCTATTTATTTAGTTCCTAATGGTCAACTGGAACTTGGGGAGAAGTTTTAAACTGTAACCTACTAAGTGTTTGTACCAGTGCTCCTTGAATAGAAAATGGGGTTGTCTCAGATTGTGTTTTCATAAAAATATACTTAGCCTAATTCGATTTGAATGGGTGGATTTTTAATAATACATTCAAGATTTGAAATTCTTGAGAATCTCTGGATTGACTAAAATTTTGGTGTGCTGGAGAGCTGTAGAAATACATGTAAGATTGTGTATTTTGATCATGCCAGTTAGGAAAGTTCCTTCTGCCGTTTTATAATGTATTCCACGAGGAAACATTTTTGAAGGCATCATTTAGAAACCGGGGGTAGCTCTTTTCATTGCAGGCTGCCACCTCTCAGCTGCTTGAATCAGAGTGCGCTATTTCAGCTTGCCTGTGGTCAGCTTGAGCGTCAGTATCTCCTTCATGGGTGGACAGCTACAGCTGTAGGACAACTTAATTTTTATTTTGGGTTTGTAAAGGAAAGGCCATCTGGAATGCAGGCCCGGGCATGGAGAGCGCCATGTGTAGGAGACAGGTTGTAACTGCAACAATTAACTTTCAGTGACTAGCTGCTAGGTTCCAGGCGACCAACTGAAGAATTTCACGTCCATTATATCATGTGGAGACAGTTGCTATTTGCAGTAACTGTAATTCTCATCATTTCACAGGTGAGGAAACTGACAACTCAGAGAAGATACTGACTGTCCTGCGGCCGCTCCCACCGAGCTGGTAAGTGGCAGGGTGGGGCTGCTCCCCAGAGGTCAGGCTGGTCTCCCCGCGGATGCTGTGGGGCTTCCTCACTTACAGCGGGCAGACACCTGGGTATAAAGGTGATCTTCAAGCTCCTTTTGTGCAAAACGCAAGGCTGGCTTCCTGTCCTTTCCCCGTTCATAGAAATTCTCCCGCAAGACATCTGTGCATTTTCAAGCAGGCTTTTCCATAGAAGAGCTCTCAGGGGCCCACGTTCAATTCTCCCAGGGGCTCTTCCACAAGATGACAAAGGTTGGGAAACTCACCCTTCATTATTAATCTTTTAAAAAAGTTATTCTGGCTTCTTTCAGGGCCATATCATTTTCAAAGCTCGCTGTTGGGGTGGGAGCCACCGAAGCTGAAATGGCCTGAAAGTGGAAACTTTTCTTGGGAGTTGAATAGTCAGTGGAATATTCATAGAAACGTAACATGACACAGGATGCTGAGCCGGTGTCTAAACTTTGTTCCAAACCATATTTGCTGTTTGTAAAACTGGCCCCTCAGGGACCAGATGGGGATAAGGTAAGTGGGGAGTGAGCTGAGACAGGGCTGTGGGTCTGGGCTCCCACCCCCTGGAGGGAGGGACTTCTCTCCATAGGAATTAGGGTTCTCAGGTGGGGGAAGAGATAATGGGGTCCAGCCACTCCCACTCTGGAAGGACCATCTCTGCCTTGGATACGGGTACCTTTCCTTCACGTTGCCACCTGAGTTTTGTGCCTGAGTTTGAAATAGGAACTTTGAAGGAGTCAGTACAGATTCATGGTGCAGTGTTTTTGCAAGTGTGGAAGTGACATCTTTTGGTTTTTCCTTGAAAGTCTCCTGATCGGATATTGACTGAAAAAAATCATGGTGGGACAGGGGGAGGGTATGGCTCAGTGGCAGAGTGTTTGGCATGCCGTAGTCCTGGGTTCCATCCGCGGCACCTCCATCAATCAATCAGTCAATCAATCAATGTAACTACTGCCCGTCCCCTGCAAAGTCATGGCAGCATGGTTCCTGATGAGTGTCATCTTCAGATGTTGGAATCATATCTTAAAACTCACCAAAAGGATGATGACCCAAATTTCCTTTCAAGAATTAACAAATCTCTCTCATTCTTTTCCCCCAGGAATTCTACTCATCTGTAGTTAATCTAAGAATTAACATTTAGCAAATTACTGCCTCAGTGCCTGAAATGAGGTATGTGTCTGGTGGCTCCATTGATTAGAACCCTGTGCTAATGAGGTCACCAGGTAAGTCCCCAGGAGGGCTGGTTCACTTCTCTGTGGTCCCCCTTGGAACCCCAGCCAGGACCCCAAATGAACACTGGTCACAAGCGGGCTTCTGGGGAAGAATCAACAAATTCTTCACTATTTGGGGGAAAAAACAGCTCAAAGCAGATGCCTTGAGTTGACTTGGAGTATGGCAATGATCCCACGGGGTGACAAAATGGTACCCTAGAGGCTGCAAAGACTTCTTGCAGCTGCAAGTGCCATGCTTCCTGGGGTGGCTTCCATGCTGGGAAAGCCGGCTTTGGTGTGTGTGGGAGCCTCCATCCTGCAAGGAAAGGGAAGCGTCGTCTGGGAACAGTGGGAGGCAGGATGCTTGCTCAAGAGGGAGACTCGGGGAGGGGAGGGACACTTTAGAGGGACTTTTGTTGAATTTTTCACTAATCACTTATTCAAAAGATGATCATTTTGGGCCTGCCAATTACTGTCTGTCATCAGGCACCCCCTGGGACCATGTCTCCGGCAGCCACGCCACTCCACCAACTTGTCTCATGCTGGCAGGAGACCCATGCACTAAGAGCTTTCAGAGCATGGGGGGTTCTCACACTCAAGCATTCTCTCCATTTTTCACTCTCCGAAACCACTTTTTTCAAGTCCAGGTCCATTCTGAGGCTAAATCTCACCCAAGCAGGGCCAGATGCATCAACGTCCTCTGAGGCTGTTTCTTGGGTTTAGGAAGGAATAATGCCTAATGGCCTCAGCTGTGCCTGGTGGCATTCCCAGTCTAAACCAGCACCCTCACTAGCTTCCTCCTGCTTACCAAGAATGCCTTCTCCTGGGCAGAGGCCACATCTCTCTTTTTTTTTTTAGTTGAAAAATTAAAAAATCTCTGTACCCTTATCCCCTAGTAGAATGCTTTGTATACAGTAGGAGTCCAGTAAATCTTCACTGAATGAGTGAGTAGATGAAAGAATTCCACCAGAATGGAATTCTGGTTCCATTTAGACAAAGGCAACTTTTTAATGTTACCATTTTATTGCTTTTCTCTTTAGAAAATTATATGTGGTTATTAAAAATATTTTGGAAAATTGAGGTGTGTGGAACAGAAGAAAATACCGCCCCCCAATAATGCATTACTTGGAGATAGCCTTTCTTAACACTTTGGGGTACACGACATTTATATCCACATGCAGATCTATCATATATGTGGGACTCAGACAATACATATTCTTGTGTAACTTTTTAGAGTTATGCCAGAAAGCTTTGCACAATATTATATCTTTTTACACGTGATTATTTTTATTTTTTCAGAGTATCTTATTGTATGACTTGATTTTGACTTAATCTGTCACATATTTAAACATCCTTGTAGCTTAAACTTTCCACATCATTTCATTTATTTCCTGGGGATAAGTTCCTACAAGAGGAATCGCATAATTCCATGTTTTTCTAATT